AAACAAATTCCGTCCAAAATTTTCGACGAAAAATTAATGAATTTCTATCAAAAATTAATATAAATATTTTTGACGGAAAACAAATTCCGTCCAAAAATTTCGACGGAAAATAAATGGTATTCCATCAAAAATTGTTGTAATGGATTTTGACGGAAAACAGATTCTGTCAAATTTTTTTTACGGAAAATCAATAAATTCCATCGAAAATTAATGTAAATATTTTGGACGGAAAACAAATTCCGTCGAAAAAGATTAGATTTTTTTTTTAAATTTGTCTCCGTACTGTTTCGCTATATTGCACCTGATAAAAAAATATAATCAATGTTATCAAAAAAAAAAAAAAAATATAATCAAAGTAAATAATATCAAAATCAAATCTCCTTAATCAATATATTAAATGCACAAAAGTCCATATCATATATTAGGCTAAGTATTAAAAAATATTTATACAATTACGTAGTATATATTGTAATTTTAAAAAATTAACAAATAAAATTTAACATATCAATACACAATGGGAAACTGACTTCATAATTTAACTAAATAATTTTCTTTCAGACTTTTTTGAACTTTATATCAATACACAATCTTTCTATTCCAACACATACAATATTTAACTTCACAAAGTACTCAAACCTAAGAGTGATAAGTTTTATAGACTTAAGATCAGAAGCCTAGTTCTTCATACATATGGATAATGATTTTAAGTGGATGAACTTTAAATATTCCTCGGTGGTCAAGCAAGGCTTTCCTTAACTTGAACCCTCCTTGGCCTTTTTCTCCATTTCTGACCATCTTCTTCATCTGGAACATCATCTTCCAATTTAAATAAGCTTTAGTTTACTCTCTTGGTTTCTTCAAAAGGTTGATCAATCCTTGGCTCAAAGCAGCTTTGGTAGTCAAAGAAGCCCACAAGTTTAGTGCCTGATCATTTAGAGATAATCAAAGTTATTACTTCTGCCAAACATTTTAGAGGATAAAATGGGAGATATATGTCTTACAGTTCTTCAAAGCCAAGCCAATCTTTAAACCAATAATAATTCTCAGTAAAATTTCATTGATAATCATTAAATTTTAAAGTATCAATACTCAAAGTAAAAGATAAAATTAGTAAAAAATGTATTGTTACCTCTGTCTCCCACTGCAAACACCAAAAAGGAATCAACTTTAACTTGCACAAGAACAATAGAAATAGGGAAAAGTGTGTATAATTTTGAAGGATGTAAAGTTGTGTCATTTTAAGAGAGAGAAAGAGATAGATAAAGGAGGAGAGAGAGTTGATAAAAAAAAATAAAGTTGTGGGTCCCACCTCTTTGTGAGAGTGAAAGGATGTAAGTTGTGTAATTTAAAAGTATAGACACTTTTCCCATAGAAATAACTATAGAAAAAGGTTGAAGTTGGGGTAGTTAGGTTCTGGGTCCACATAAACGGCGGTGGAGGAACGCTCATGTTTTTTGGTTTGGTGAGTTTATGGATTGAAAGATGAGAAGAACGAAAAATTGGCCTTAGGTTAGGAAATGGGAAGTGGAATGGTAAGGGTGGGAAAATAAAGGTGGAAACTGGAATGGTAAGCGTGAAAAACGAAAGTGAATAAATATTAAAAGTGGTTTTCAAAAATATTATTTCTTTTTTTAAAAAAAAAATTCAACGGAATTATATTTCAGTCAAAAAATTTATAAATATAATTTATTTATTTATTTTTTTAAAAAGTTTTCGATAGATTGGTTTCCTTACTCTTATCCAATCAATCTAATTGATTGGTTTTCCAAATTTCAGCCTATTAATTTAATTAATTTGTTTCCAATCAATCTAATTGATTTATTTCCTTTATTTTCTCCATCTTCAGTACATCTAATTTAACGACTATATTTAAATTCAAATTTTAAATTTTAAATTCCAACTTGACCCATGATGCCACCTACTTTATGTGGACTTTTCCAACTTAGGCCTTATTCGGCCCAAACCATATAAGCTATAATTCAAGACAACTTAAGGTATTTATTTGCGACTTATTAGGCCCAACATATCCACAGACCTAAATGGGCATGGGCCAATTAGACCCAATCCATCTAATGACAACATAGACCACTAGCAATGCTTTGTTGTCTCGGAGCTAGCTGAGTTCATCGAATGATCAACCTGTTATACTTACATGGATCCATCTGACTCTCAGATTGTTTTTAAGACACCTATGTACTAACAATTTGGAATTTTTGTCTTTCTAAAAAAAATTACACAAACAGATGGAATTGAATTTGAAAACCATTAATGCAGATCATTAGTTCGATAGGTTTGATTTGGCTAACCATCGAAAAGTCCACAATATATATTTTCTTTTTCTTTTTCTTTTTTTCAAAAGTTTTCGACGGAATTCCTTTTTCGTCAAAAATCTTCGACGGATTCGAAATTCCGTCGAAAAGTCCACAAAATATAATATCTTTTTCTTTTATTTTTTCAATTGTTTTCGACGGAATTTCATTTCCGTCGACAATCTTCGATGAAATTGAAATTGCGTCGAAAAGTTCACAAAATATAATTTTTTTTTCGTTTTCTTTTTTTCAAAAGTTTTCGTCGAAATTACTTTTCCGTCCAAAATCTTCGACGGAATCAAAATTTCGTCGAAAAGTTCACAAAATATAATTTTTTTCTTTAATTTTTTCAATTATTTTCGACGGAATTTCTTTTTTGTCAAAAATCTTCGACGAAATTTTTTTTTCTTTCTGCGGAATATTTTTTCTGTCGAAATTTTTGACGGAATTTATTTTCTTTCGAAGTTTTCGACGGAAAACAAATTCCGTGAAAAATTCCGTCGAAAATTTCAATGAAATTTTTTCTGTCCAAAAATTCCGTCGATAATAAATACATTTCTAGTAGTGTATCATATAACAACTTCTATTGTCAGGTTCTCGTAAAAAATATAATTTGTTAGGAATTTGACATTATTAATCACGGCAATAAATAAATGTAAATTGGGTGGGAGTCTCTTCGTGCTACTGCAATATTAATTAATTAATTAACAACTTAAGTTTATATGTATGAAATAACTTTATTTGCAATTTCGTCTGCCAAAAAATTGACATCTACAAAAAATATCAATACTAATAGAATACAAGATTTTACGTGAAAACTGGAAAAAATCACAAAAGAGCTCTATGAAATTCACTCAAAATATCTGAAAAAATGCTCTAACTTGAACTTTTTCTATAAATTCAATACCGACCATAATTATCTTTTTGAGATGAATCGGTCCTTTGGATATTCTCACAAACTTTAACGCTTTGAGCTAACTATGAAACTAATGTTGAGTCGAGGTTTCATCATATATAAAGTTTCTTTCATCTTCTCAAAGATACATTTCGTGGGAATCAAACTTAAGTTTTCTTCCCACTCTACTCCGTCTGTGTTGCCAACTGAGGTACACCATACACCCATTCTGTAACTCTAAAGCATTTGCTATGTTTTCCTTTTGTGTGTTTAAAATTTGATCTAAGTACCTTTTATATAGACACCATTTCATCTAGTGTGAAAATTAATATCCACCGTAATAACATCTTGTAAAAAATAAATGGCCTACCATGTTTGACAAATAATGCACCATGTAAAACCAAATCAACAATTTCAACACAACCTACCCTTAAGGTTGATACTGGAATAAATAACGAAACATCTTCGCTTGCTTAAAAGATTTACTTTTGATTTCTTCTAATAATCGTAACTCTTTACCTATATAAAAAATTATATCAATTCAAAAGTTAAAAATATATAAATTTCTTAAATTATTTAAGGGATTAATATTTCTCATGTTGTAGGAGATAATTTTATCTCTACTCACACATAAAAATAGGAAAGAAATAAATTTATCTCCTACAATATAAAAAATATTAAAATTTTTATATATTATAATTTTCTAAATAAATTTTCGAGTTAGGCCAAAAATACATACACGCATGCATACACATCACATGCATGCAACTATGCACACGCATATGCGCATACACCCACATGAGCACGCACATGCATGGCCAAAACAAATTTAATTTCATTCACACACAAGAAACAAATCTAATTCCATTTTAACAATTCTATACTTAACCTTTACCATCATAAACTGTTTGGGTTTCATAGAATTCATATAGCGATAATCTCTCACAATCATTTTTGCCCTTCTCAAACTTAAATTCAAGATTTTTTATTAAATTTTTTTTTTTAAATCTGTTTACCATTTATACCAATAATTATTAATGTGTTGATAAATTATTTTTCTCTTTTAAAGAAGATGTAATAGGTCAGAGGTCACCCATTAATAGGCTGAAAACAGCTCATAATTCATTTACGACAGCAGACAGTTGAAAGTTGTCGTTTTTTGCCGTACCATAGATCCATGACAACACTTTCTAACCAATAAATTGTGCTATAGAATTATAAATTGATTGACTATGACCAAGTAGCTAGTAACACTCGCAGCATATGGATCACTTTTTGCCTATATTTTGAAGTTGCCTATCTAATCTATGTTACATTACACTGATGTAAAATTTAGTCAAGAGTGGGGTAGAAGTGACAATCTCCAATATGTATATTAAAAGAAGGGGTTTATATGTTTACCAAAAAAAAATATATATATATATATATATATATAGGGTTTAAGTTATGTTGTAGGATTGTAGGAGATAAAAAAAGTAGAGAGAAGTTAAATGTGGATCCCATATTTTATATTAAAAAAGAAAAAAAAAATTAATTAACACGGAAAACGAATTAGTGTAGGAAAATGATATACTCTTATGTAGCATAAGAGTATTATTTCCCATATATATATATACTTCTTATGCAATATAAGAAGAAAATTTTTAAAATACACATACTCAGGTGAGCCCCACTCAAAAAAAATAAAAATATTAACACACAAAATTATGTAAGTATATTATGACGAGACTATTCTTATGTTACATAATAACTATAAACTCGTTAAAAGAAATAATATGTAAAGTAAAACATGTAACCTACGATTTTTGTGAGTAAAACTTGCGAGTCCTAGCATGTAGAATCAAAGCCAAGAAAGTTCCTAGGAAACAAAAGGACCCCCAGATGATAAAAGTGTTCCTGTAACATTCCATGCCCATGCATTTCCCATGTTCATGCCCTTCCTTATGGTAAATAAGTGCAGCTGAGCAGCCAAACAAAAAGGAACCCATGGGAATGTTGGTCACGACCACATTATGGTTCACAGAGAAATGTTTAGTGCCAAATAGTTCAGTGGTTATAGAAACAGCAAGGGAAGTGATTGTTCCAGTACACACTCCAATTACTGCAGTGCTAATGTAGAGTGCAAGGTCAGTTTTGTTGAGAAGTAAGAAGAATGCACATGATGTTGGAGCCATTACTGCCACCATAGAAGCAGGTCTTGAAATTGTACGTTTTCCCCTGAAAACAAAATAGTTAGCTGAAGCCATGTGAGTAAGAGGAGTGGCTTTTAATTTTACAGTTTGTTTGTCTTCATCAATGTAGATCAACTAACACGTCTATAGTCATTATTTGCATTAAATGAGAGGGTAAATGCACTGGTCCTGGTTGGTGTTAGATAGGGGAGCTAGGGAGTTATAGAACATGTTCCACATTACCTGTAGAAGTAGTCCATAAGAGATGGAATGAGACGGCCAAAGAACCCAAAAGATGAAGACAAAGACACCAAAGATGAGGTACCAGAGCAACCCCTGGATTCAGCTATTTGTCCCAAGTTATTAAGAAATACTAAACCAATTGTTGGACCAAATAAATATACAAAGAAATATAACCAGAAATCTATTCTTCTCAGCATCAACTTCACTCCAATTTCTTCTCTAACACTAACCTCTTCTTGAACTTCTCTCCTCTCTTCACCCTCTTTCACTTCATTCTCTGTCACCTCTACATTAATATTCTCCTCCATCGTTAAATGGTAGACTCTAAGTCTTTCTCTATTTTTGTTCCATGACTCCACTAGTTCCTTGATCTTCACTGAAATTGGGACTAATAGAGGGAAGAGAAGGGACACAAGAATACCAATCAGGATACCCAGTGAGGGTATTTTGCTTGTGAAAAAGTGCAAGCTGCTCATCACAGCATAAATTCCAGTGGCAATTGTAATAACAAACATCATAGCAAACCCAAAACCCGTGTACTTATTAGGACTTGTGACCTCAATTTCTCTAACTAGAGGAGCTGTTATTAGGCCAACTATCACAGGTAAGAGAGAGTTAAGGAAGAGGAAGGTTCCAGCTTTTTTGTGTGGAGAAACAGCATCAACAATATTGGTATAAATCTTAGCACTTAATCCTTGGTAACTAGTTGTTAATCCCACAGCAACTTGGCTATAAGATAGGAAGTTCCTTATAGTGACAACATAGCAGACTGTGTTGATCCAACAAATGCTGTTCCCAGCCAGAAAAGTTAATAAGAAGACATGCCAATAGGACAAAGAATAAATTTGGTTGGTTATGAAGAGATATTGCACACCATAACCAATTAAGCCAAGAGTTGAACCTATCATGAGGACAAGCCATAGTGGGAGGTAAAGAGAAGCAAGGCCAGAAAACCAACCAAAAAGTTTCCCTGCATCAGAGGCAAAAGCAAGATTATTGAGCTGCACTTGGGAAATAGAAAGAAGCTGCTTCAGCTGGGAAGAGTAAGCAGGGAAATCAGTGTTTGTCCCATTTATGGCTTGGAGCCAAATGATGCCAACAAGGGTTAGCCATTGAAGAGTAGTAGAAGGCATTGATAAAAAAAAATAAAAAATAAAAAAACTACTTGAACTACACTTCTAAGCTTGTAAGAGGAAATGGGGTGTGATGAGAGCTTATATGTTAAAAAGAAGAGGAGGAAGGGCTAAAAGCCTATGGTGTGAAAACCAAAGTCAGCAAAACAGTGCCACATAAATGGAATAACGTGGCTGTACATGCAAAATGCTGTTTTTTTATCATGGACCACAACCCATGCTGGAAAATGTTATGTGTAGGATAGGAAAAAGCATCTATGTTACTATCAAGAGTATTATGGATAATTAAGATTTTGCAGTAAAAAACTTAAAACAAGATAGATTCATAAGACATGGGCAATCCCATTTTCTTTGTCTCAGGTCAGTCCCTTCCCTTATTATATACACTACGTACTAGGTATGTTTTACATAGACACCAAGGTGGGGTCATGAGATAGTGTGGTTCGTCTATGTGATGTCATCCATGAGATCAATGTGGGCTACTAAGGTTCATCCACGGCATGGACCTACTTTGCAATTGAGAATCATTTCATTGTTTACCATATAAGTAAATAAACTCAAATACAGTATATTATATTTGATTTAAGAGTTGGTTTTTTCTGCACTGAATATAGATAAATTATCTATATTATTGAACTTAAAACAACATTGTTTTGTGACAAAAATGTTATTTTGTAACAAAAATTAAAATGTTTTGTAATTATGATTTATTACAAAGTTATAATAATCTTTATTGTTATAATTTTTTAATCTTTCAATATCGAAATAATATCGTTTTACAAATGAATATAGATAACTTATATGCTTCCTTGTAAAAACATTATAGCCTTGATTTAATCATGGTTTCAATCCATCAAGGCAAGTAAAACAGTCAAGCTCAAATATCAGACTGAGTTATCTGTACGCTTCAAGCTATAGATTCCTTGTACATTCGATTTGAGATAACAAAACACGACAAGTTATAAAATTTTGTTATTCTGTATCCAAAAAAAAAAAATTGTTATTCTGCCTCTTTATCACTTATGTGTTCAACATATGGTTTTACATAAGCAACTGAATAGCAGAATTATAAGGCTATCCGCATTTGATATTGGTTCGAACTTAGTAGCAGAAGTGTCTCAATGGAAGAATAGACGAATCGTGTTAGGTGATCGCAACAACAAAATTAAAAGACTTAAAACAAACAACATTAATATCCTCGATATAATTAAAGGAAGTGTTTATCCTTTTAAATGACAAAATTTATATCATTTCACTCTCACAAAAAGGTGAGACCACATTTTTAATTTTTTTTATCAACTCTCTTTTCTTCTTTATCTATTTCTTTCTTTCTCTTGAAATGACACAACTTTACGTCCTTAATGACACATACTTTTCCCATAATTAAATCTCTTAACAAATTTGTACCAAAAAAAATAAAAAATCTCTTAACAAATAAACTTTGGGAAAAATGTTTCTGTAGTTAATGCAGATAAATTATCTGCATTTATTCCCAAAACGACGTCGTTTTGGTATTGAAATCTTAAAAAGTTATAAACATAAAGACTATTATAACCCTGAAATAAATTAAAATTACAAAAATACCATGATTTCCGTCCCAAAACGACGTCGTTTGGGCTTACTACAGATAACTTATATGCAGTAAGTAACTGCAGAAAAAGCGAACCCATAAACTTTTCTCTTTGATTAAGAAAAATAATTAGACAAAAAGGAGAATTATAACTTTCATTTCAGTGAGATTAGAGACAATAGTAGAGTCAGAATTTTTATTATTTTTTGAAGGGAGCAAAATTATAATGTCATTTTTCCGTTTGTAGTTACAACTAATTATAAGACAAAAAAAATATAGAAATAATGCTTACAATTAAAAATTTTGTGTAAATTTTGAACGCAACGAGTATTATATATATGATCAAAAAATTAAAAATAATATTCAATTCTAAAGATTTATATAAATTTGAAATGGACAAAAATGCCCGCTATCCTGTCCCTCACTCCGTAATATTCGCGTTAATGAACATGGCACACAATATGAGATTCACACGACATCAATAAATGGCAAGTTCATAATCACAAAGATGTTTTCAGCTTCATTTCTCCTTGTGCTTATTCCTGCCGCCAAAGGGATGGGAATTAACCCGGAAAGGACCCGTCAATACTTCCAATTACACATTCACCAAAAGAAAGAAATAAAATAAAAAATACTCTAATTACATTAATTCACTCCACCACCGGATACATCTCCAAAATCTGAAAACAAGAAAATGGGGAAAAAAAAATATTTGTCATAATTTTTTTTCTTTTAAATAAAGAAGCAGCATAAAGGCATGAAATAGAAAGATACTAAGATCCTTGTCGTATTCTTCTACCAATAATCTCTAGTCACTAAATTAAATTGAATGATCAATTCATAAAAAATGTGTCGTTTCTTCATGAATATTGTACGTATCTCCAAGCAATATATATAAAAAATAAAATACACACAACCCTTATCTTTTATGAGTAATAATCGCTATCAATGGATGCTTTCAGCTAAGTCATGTATTGATAATCCTTAAATTTAAAAGGGTCAGAAAAGAAAAGAACCAAGACTTTGAGAGGAGGGGAAAGACAGAACAAAGAGATAAAAAAATATTTAAAAATAAAATAAAATAAAATAAAAGCTATAAATTACTTGCTTTTCTGGATAAAGTTAGATTTTAATGGTCAAGGAACATAGAGTTTGTTCTCCCATGGTGAATGGTGCATGCTGAATGATAATTGTGACGTAAGAATTTCTGATTACACGCCTACACGAAAGAACATCTGTTCTCCTAGGCATAATTCTTGCTGATTTCATAGTGTTAAATAAGTGAATAAGTAAGTGATACTTATTTAGTCATGGACCTTCAACCAGATTCATTCTTTAAATCTTTTTCAGTGGCACATTTAACTATAAAATTGTTTATGATATGGTCCCAATAAATTGACTAAATCATTCGTCAAGAAGTCAACTTACATCATTACGGCCTAATTTTTCTTTCACATCATCACAACTTAAAATTCAGAAAACAATTTCTTTGTAAAAATAGAAACATAAGACTGCATACGAAGATTTCTCTCCTTGCGAGTTGGGGTTTCATGGACAGTGGTTTACAAATAAACTTGCCTTCCAAACATTTTTCAACAGAGTTCAAAGCTATGAGGATTAAACACACACATACATAACCAATAAATGGACATAATACCATGTCAAAGAAGTTCTGGAAGTGAGATTTTTCCCTTGTTGATTAGCTAATGATGAGCACATGATTATTGTGAACATGGGAGGCCCCAAGCTATACTATATTTCCCATTTAAAAGGAAAGCACAAAATCCAGGAGCACCTTGGAATATGACTAGCTGAAGGGATATCCCAAGGGTCTTGACTGAAAAAAGTTTTGGTGAATAACCCCCTCCTATCACTCCCCTGCTTGAGAAATTTATAAAAGTCTGGTTAGTTAAGTGTGTGCAAGTGGTGAGTGGGTGAATTCATAGCGCGTGTAGAGTGTGAAAGTACGAGGTGAGTGTGTACAATGAAGCTAGTGGTTAGTGCAGAGTAGAATGGGGTGCATTGAGTGTGAAGGAGTATTGGTGATAAGTGTGAAGTGTAGGGGAGTGGAATGGTGTCGAGTAAGTTGATAAGGGAATGGGGAAGGGAGGGAGGGGAGGCTGTGTTGTAGTGCAGGATTGGTAGTTGATGCTAATAGGACTACTTGGGGGAATGGGCGTGAGAGTGAGGGTGAGGAGGGAGGAGCTGTTTGAGTGATGTGCAGTGGAATGGAAATTGTTTTATTTATTTATTTTTTTAAGCTCCATCAACGAGGAAATCATGCACAATTATTTTGGGAAAATACAACTTGAAAGAAAATTGTAAGCATGTATAAAAAGCTTGGTAAAATGAAGGGTTGACACACGTTCTACCAATAATCAAGACTGGAACATTTACCTTAAAATGGTGAAATCTGCTTCTGTCCCTAAACTATCATCTCTCTGTCTAACACTTTTAGACATAATCTTGCTCACCCCGTGAAAGTCCTCCCAAACTCTCAAGTTCTTCCCAATTCTGATGCAATCACCAACTACTGCTACCAAAATGCCAGAAGTAATTGCTAACCTTTCACAGTGCTATTTAATTGCATGTTCCATACCTTTTCTAATTCTCCTATTTCATGCAACATAGGTAAGAAGTTTTGGTGAGTAACCAGCTTAAGTTATACTCAGTCTTATTGTTTCAAGCATTTTGTAAATGTCTGAAGAACATTCATGCTCTCTGTCCCCAGCAACAAAGCGATGAACTCTACCCTGCACTTCAATCAAGCTCCAACCTGCAACTTTGTTGGGGATTCTCTCAATCATTAATCTGCGAACTCCAACTACGTCTTCCCATTTTCTTGCTTTTGCATAGATTTCAGCTAACTGTACATAATGCCCATCATGGGTTGGATCCAACTGTATCAACTTATGTCCAATCTTTTCTCCCATATCCAAAAATCCATGAATCTTACATGCATCTAGTAGCGTTGCCCATAGTACAGGGTCTGGTGTAACCGCCATTGTGTCAATCAACTGAACGGCTTCATCTATTAAACCAGCACGAGCCAGGAGATCAACCATACACCCATAGTGCTCCATCTCTGGTTGAATGCCATAATCTTCCACCATTAACTTAAAGTAATGCCTGCCTTCACTAACCAGACCAGCCATACTACAAGCATTTAGGACTCCAACAAAAGTCACATTCACAGGACAAAAACCTTCACTTACGAATTTCTGAAAGAGTGCAAGCGCTTCCTTTCCATGATCATGTGAAGCAAGCCCACAAATCATTACATTCCATGTCCATACATCCTTTTTCAACAACCCACCAAACAAGGTTCTCGCCTGGTCAATGCAACCGCACTTTGCATACATGTCAACCAGACCAGTTCCTATGGGAACAGTTATTGGGAACTTTAAGGATTCAATGGAGGAATGAATGA